AGTATGAGGCAAAAAGAGCAGTAATATGGAAGAACAAGAGAATTTTAGTGGATATTATAAATCACAAAGAGTGAATGCATCTGCACCAGTCATTGCCTTTTCCAGACTTCATCGGTTTTTACCATCTTGAGAACCTCATGCAGCCTGGCTCAAACTAACTTTTGTTGATTTCATTGGCTGATGAAGCCATCTTTTCGTTTGACCACCACTAGCTAACTCTTTCCTAACCTGATTCCATGTCATCTAACATCACCCATTTAGGAAGGCAATGGTTAAGCATGAATGCGTAACACATATCCTAACCATCTCAATCGGTGTAAATTCACAACTTAATCAATTGATTTTCCCTCCCTAACAAGCACTCGACCTATGCCTCACCTCAATGTTGCTCACCCTATTATTCAACCTAACACGAGAGACCGGACACAGTCACCTGTGATGAATGACAGCCAGCCAGGCTTTTCATGTCTTCCATTTTCAGTGGCAGCCAGTCACCAAGGCTGACTGAGTGAATTCCTGAGCAGTACATACACCCTTTGGTCGACAGCTAGCTAGCCGGATATAACGTCTATTAAGCTAGAGATGGCGTGAGTTTGTATATGCCAAACGAGGCTTTTCTTTCCATGCTGATATGTCGTAAGCGGTCAACCCACTAGGACTGGCTGAAACAAGTGAAGTGGTCAACACGATCCACTAACCACTTCACTCCCTCCCTATCTTTAAGCTAGGAGTGTGTCAATGTATTCCAGTCCTGCAGTACTACCCAACGTTTGACATAAGCAAGTCTCATGCCAGACATTCGAAGATTGCTGCTCCTCAAAGTTGTTCAGAAGACTCTCTTGGATTCTGTCAGCGTCTTCACCTCACCTAGGAGGGAGGACTATATAATCTGCATGTTCTAAGTCAACGAGATTATTCCCTCCCTCTTGGTAACAAGTTAATCCCTGAGTCGCTGAAGTCTGTTAAGGTAAAGTTCATTAGTACAATATCTATAATGAAATCGCAGAGAGAAATGGGGACAGTGGGCTTGCATCCCTGACGGACAGCACTGGTTGTCACCACAGTGGGAGAACGCCTGATTAAGTCCCTCCATCTCTCTCTCTCTCCTCGGGGGGTTTTATTTCTATTGTTATAAATTTCATCATTGAAGATAATCAAATGTTTACTCGACTGCTATGCATAAAATTTTATTCAGTTACATTCTTATCAGATGTCATTTGTGTAGACGTAAAAGCACATTATAAACGGAAATATTGTAGAGAATGAAAAGAACAATTAAGCACTTGTCTGTTTCTTTATCTGTCAATGTTAACACACACACATAGACAAACACATATGAGTGTGTTTGTACAAGCAATATAAAATAATGTGTGATTCATTATCGCTTTAATTGCATGACTTAGTATGCAAATATTATACCTATTGATTATTATGCAAACATTGAGCGACAAAAGTATTAGTAATAATAAAATGCTAAAATTCATAGAGATTAATTAGTTAATGTATACGCGCCATTAAAACTGGAAGACATCATCATGAGGCTATCTGTCTTTGACCACAGACATTTGTATTCTGTCTTCCATGTTAAGCAATATTGTGAATAGGCATAGAGTGCTTGTGCGTCGGTGGCACAACGGTAGAGTGCTCGCCGACTACGCCTCATGTGGACCGGGGCTCGATCCCCGGCCACCGACACACTCGTTTACCTCGCTAAGCCAGTAGTAAGATTGGTAAAGAGGGAAAGTTGGGTATGAATGAGGCTAGCAACTCCATCCTGTAAAAATAATCACCACTGCTACAGAAACTTCAAATGTCTCTAGCTTAAAGCCGCCTACGTTCCACAGAGAACGTGAAGGAATAAAAAATATAGAGTGCTTAGATGAGAAAGGGAAGTCGATCGATGAAGAGGGATGTGCGTGTGCAATTACATTGGTTGATGAAAATGGTTAGGATGTATGCTGCGGATTCCGAACCGCCATCTGCCTTGACGGTCGGGAAGCGTTAGGGGTGGTGGTCAAACTAAAATTTGACATCAGTCCATGAAGTCTTTGACAGTTAGGTGTAGATTGTCCTGGTTGTGTGGAGTCTTCAAGAAGCATTAGACACAATATGACGACAAGAGACAGTTGCTGGTGGTAATATTGGCTCAAAATTGGTCCCCTCCAAGGGGTTGGGGCAAGGTACAGATGCATTCACTTTTTATGTGATCTCTCCATGTCTAAATCCATCAAGGCCCCATGTTTTTTTCCGAATTTAATTCTTCTCGTGAACATCATAAGACGACAAAAGGAAGAGGATAAAGAGCCATGGTTAATTAATATGAACAACAGGATATTATTCATCCTGCATAGTGTGCTAAAGAAAAAATAAGCGAGCAAAGGAGATATAGCATACACTTTTTAATCAATATATGCCAGAAGGTTGAAGCTTATCTCATTTCCTGAGTTTGTTTATAGTTTGGGGAATGATAAAAGCCCCAGTAAATATATATGTAGCTCATTCGGCTAGGCCTATGACTTCTAGTCCTTGGAGGGTTTTTGTGTTGGAACTGACTTCAGTGACTCAGGGATTGACTTGTTACCAGGGAATAATCATGTTGACTTATAGTATGCTGAGGATGATATAGTCCTCCCTAGGTGATGTGAAAACGCCGACGAAGTGCAGAGTCTTCTAAACACCTTGAGCTGCAATCTGGGAATGTTTGGTATGCGATTCACCCGGGCCATATGTAAGATGATGCTGCAGAACTGGACTACATTGCCTCATTCCTACTTTAGAAATAAGGAGTGAAGTGGTAGAGCGTGTTGACCGCTCCACCTATTTGGGAAGTAGCATCAGCCAGTGCCAACGGGTTGATCGCTGACGAAATCTCAGAACGGATACAGAAAGCCCATTTCGCATATGCCAGTGTACGCTGTCTCTGGCGTAGACGTGATAACCGGTTGGCTGTCAACCAAAGGACGGGTGTACTGCTCAGCAGTCTGCTCCGTCCTCCTTTATGGCTGTGAGACCTTGTCATTGAGAGTGGAAGGTCATGAAAAGCCGGCTAGCTTTCTTTGATCATAGGTGCCTGCGTTCTGTCTCCCGTGTGAAGTGGTATAATAGGGTGAGCAATATTGATGTGAGGCATCGGTCGAGTGCTTGGTAAAGAGAGAGGGGAAATCAATCGATAAGGCTGTGAAGCCTAACCATCGCCTTCCTCGACATCCGACAATCTTAGCTGACATAGGATCAGGCTGTAAAAGAGAAGGCTAGTGGTGATCAAACGAGAACATGGCTTCATCAGTCAATCAAATCCACAACAGTTGGTTTGAACCAGCTAGCCACACAGGGCGATGTAAAACAATGAAGGCTGGAGACAATTAGTAAAAATCGTTGTCAATGGCTGTCGCAGATGCATTCACTCTTTGTGATTTATAATATTCAATAAAAATCTCTTGTTTTTCCATATTACAATTTCTTTTGGCTTATATCTCTTTAATGTCTCTATTTTGCATTTCTTGTACTTTCTTCTCTTGCCCTGTGTGCTACATGGAGTGTGTGTGTGTGTGTCATGGGAATTGACACGTGTGTAGCCCAGTAGTTTAAGCTGGTTGCCATTGCAATGAAGTTCATAGAAATGATAAAATGCTCTGTTCTTCTGCTGAATATATTCAAGAGTAGTCAGCAAAAAAAAGAACGCACAGTTCCCTGCAATATGTCTGGTCACCTAGCCTTGTTTGTGTGACTACACTTCTTCCGACGTGATTGATGCACTACGATCACTCCACCTCCCGCCCTTAAAGTCGAACATTTAATTTTACTCCTCAAAACACGAAATGCGCCATATAAAGTATCGTAGATTTTGCGAGGACTGAGATATACTGCACAGACACCCAACTCAAGACAGGTGTTTGGTTATCTTGAGGAGTGTCACCCCGTCACTAGCGAGCCCTTTGCCTAGAAGTCTTGTAACGGCGTAAGACAAGCGCGAGGCAACAGATCCTCTATTGAGAAAATCAAGAGATATTTATATATTTTTATGTACATTATTATTCGTTATTATTAGCAGAGAAACAGCATCTTCGGATTGGCTGTTTTCTCACTGAAAGTTATTCTGTCATCTCTTTGTGGCTGTTTCTCTGAAGGTCAAATCATATATCTGCGAATCGTATTTGCACACGTTAATTCTACTGTGATTGGTTGTTGAGTTCCTCAAGGTGTTGGGCTTTGTTATGGTTTTATCTCGTGACCCCGATTCAGGACGTAGACATTGACGTAGATTGATGTCTACAATTTTACCTGGCAGACAGCTTTCACCACAGTCTGATACACAGGGCACTGAATCTACGTCAGGAGCGCTACCTCCCCATGGTTTCTAATGTTCAAAACAGACTCATACGCCATTTGATCCTTCTTTCCGAATCTGGAGTCCATTTACTTTATAGTTGTATAATCACGGTATTACAGCTCTCATAAATAAACCTGCATATCCACTATTCTAGTAGTGATCACTAATGTTCACTTTCGTGGGTAACGCCTCCCCCGTCCCGCGTGAAGGCCAGTAATGAGGACTCACACTTCAAATGATCCTATCACAATTAATCACTGTCTACCTAAAAAAAAGTTCTTAAATTTGTGAAGATCTTTGATAGAATTTCAGCGTTAATTCACGCAGTCATCCTGGAGTCTAAATAGTATCATTAAGCGTTTCACATGATAATAAATTGTGCCTTTGAATACTGGAAAGTAGTCGATGGAAAAAGACCACTCAGTGTACCTAACAATGTCTACTACTACACAGACTCAATCGATAAACTTCAACCACTGCTTTATAAAGTTGACATTAACTATTGTACATCAATAGTTAGTCAATAATTATTTCTTATACTGGTCGTATTGATTCGTCGTCACATGCGATCTGCTTTAAATTGAAATCATGAATTAATTAATACATTTTATTGATTGATTAATTGATTTTCATGTCTAAACTTTGTTTTTTTTCTTACATCCATCTTTAGACCCTACGTCAAATGACCAATAATCATCTTGTCCTAATGATATGCATTACAACATTTCTATCCTATCTACCAGAAGCTGGACAGTATTCATGCTTTTTTGTATATTTACGCTTAGTAAGTTGTTTTTGTTTGTTTTTTTAGTTTTCTTGTATTTACTGTATTTATCATTCTCAGCACATAAACACACACACACAGACACAAAGACAGACAGACAGACACTCTCTAATGATCTGCTGCAAGTCATTAGAGTGAAATATTTGTTTCTCAGTTTTTTTTCTTATGAGCTGTTTGTTTGTTTTGAGTGCTATTCGTTATACCGATTGATTCATAGATATATTGAACGGTGATTACGTCACCGCCATAACATATAGTGATTCTGATTGGATTGAAATGAGTCGTCCACTTTGTTAATTAATAATGACTAACTAATTGAATTTTTTGATCAAGAACTTTTCACTGTCAAAATAAATAAACAAGCAAACCTATAAACATTTAATTGGTGGATGGTGACTAGCAGTGGAGTCCAGGATGCGCATTTCGTCCTATTTGGGACTCGTCAGCTGGATGTACCTGCATTTCTCAGTGAGTGATGATGTTCCCACCGATGCTCGAACCCAGTGACCATGGTTTCAAACGCCAAAGCGTTATCCACTAGACCACTTGGGCCACGAGAGCCACCTCTTGTGCAACGGGTCATATTGATTTAATTGAATTTTGCATTTTCCCGTCGATTGATTGGACCGAAGTGCTCGGTCTCAGGTTGACATGTCGGCTTCTTGAGCAGATGCTTCGACGATGTCTGGGCATTTAATTAGTATTTAATTGGTGGATGGTGACTAGCAGTGGAATCCAATCCAGGATGCGCATTTCGTCCTATTTGGGGCTCCTCATCTGGATGTGCCTGCATTTCTCAGTGAGTGATGATTAAATACTAATTAAATGCCCAGACATCGTCGAAGCATCTGCTCAAGAAGCCGACATGTCAACCTGAGACCGAGCACTTCGGTCCAATCAATCGACGGAAAAATTCAAAATTCAATTAAACCTATGAACAGTTTGCTTATAAACAGGCCAGAAGTCACTTTAGATGCCTGCTACTGCTGCTGTCTTATGTCATTATGCATTGTTTCCTTCTTAGCCAAAGGGACTGAATATGTTCGTTGTATCAGCCTTGACTACACATCTGCTTTTGATTCTGTATCCCAGAATTCACCAGATGTTCTGTTATCTATCGGACTGTATACGCCTTTGCTTGCCATGCTGGATAGTGTTCCCGCGCGTGCGCGCGCGCGCTTTTTACAAGCTGACGCATGGTATATAGTCAATGTACTCAGCTCCACACAAGCAAGTGAACTTGTATATATGCATGTTGTGAAGTGACCCAATGCGACAGCTTGTCTTTCACGTGTTGGGTGAGTAGTTTCTTGCAGTAGAGAATGTTATTTATAGGCTGGCTGGTGGCGAAGTATGTTTTACTGAGAGACTTCGAAAGTTGTCTGCGGAGAATTTCTGCTTCGGTATCACTATTAAATGTATTATATTTTATTCCTTCATGTTCCCAGTGGAACATAGGGATTCAAGCTAGAGTCTTGAAGTTTCTGTACCAGTGTTTATTTTCACAGGATGGGGTTGCTAGCCACATGCCCGAACTTTCCTCTTCACCAGTCTTATCAGTGGCTTAGTGGGGTAAAGGAGTGCCTCGGTGTGGGCAGGGATCGGACCCCGGACCATATGCATGGTTGGCTAGCGTCCTAACCGCTATGCCACCGACGCACATCACTATTAAATTCGAGTTTCAATATCAGCATCTTTTTGGGGCCGACTTGAACATTATCAGTCGTCTTCTTTGATCTTAGATTCTATCAAAGTCCCTCGAAGATTTTGTAATTCTTTATCGATTGGACTCTTCGGTACAAATCTTCCGGATCCTCGAGGAAAGAGAGTATATTAGGTTTCTCTTCCTGCTTAGAGGCACACAACTTTGAAGGTTAATAAACAGTCCGTCCCATGTGAGCTTTTTGTAGATAGAGCTTCTTAGCAAGTTATCTGCATCCCTTTGTAGTTGAACCTCGAGGAAATAAAATATTGAGTTAGACTCAACTTCCAGGATGAAGTCGATGTTTCGGTGGGCGTTATTGAAGATTTGAAGTAGGTTTTTATATCACAATTCTCATCACAAATAATGAAAGTATCATCGATGTATAAAACTTGGGCAATGTGGCAGAGAAGAATTCCTTTATGTATAAGATTTTATTTTAATAAATCACACAGTGTTATACAGTAATATTTACCTATGCGACCGCGTTTCGAGCACAATTTATTCCTGCTCATAATCATATCAAGGAAATACTCACACGACTTTCCCAAAACTTGGTTTATATGATTCCATTATTTTTCATCGCTTGACTTGATTGGTAGTAGTATTCTCCATATTTCCGGCATGAGTGATGAGTCATTGTCCTATTGCACGTGTTGGGTGCGTAGACTCGACGAAAAAAGATCCAGTAATCAATCTCTCTCTACTTCCACCTAACTATGTTACATTTTGGAATTTTAACCCTCTCCCAATCCATGTTGTGTGGTTGTGTGTTAATGCATGCAGTGCAATTGCTGAGCTTTTTTCCGAATTACTTATCTTCGTGGAGTCAATCATTCTAACCTTAGCTAAATTCTTATGTTCTGACAATCTGACTACCCCCGATCTACTAGTTTGAATTATGTAGTTGACCTCACAGTCATTGCAGGGTATTTTGTAAATTATATTATTTTGTCTAATTGGGTCGACCGGGTCCTTTAAGCTACAGAGCTTGTCTCCGAGTGAGTTTGTAGGTTTGAGTGCCATCCTAATTCTTGCTTTATCAAGAATTCTACGTAGGGAGGGTTTCATATGTCCCCTCCTTATATGGTAAAACTGCTGTAGGTACCTTATATTCTCTCTTATTTATGCTATCATCATTAGTTTCACAATTATTTTTATTTTGCTTTTGGTCTTTTCTGATCTTTCTAATTAATTTAATGGGATAGTTAGTTATTTGACACCAACGCTTCTTCTTCTATCTGTTTTATTTCATCATTTAGGTTTTTTCTTGTACTACTTAGTGCTGCTGCTCGGTTTGTTAAACACTAAACCAGGCTTGTCTTAACAGTAAACGGATGAAATGAAATAAAGTCTACATATCAATTAGCAGAATGCGTTGGTTTTTTTTATAAACGCGGCTAGTGTGCAGTTTACCATCTTCTATTCGTTTTATTCTACAATATTTACAGGATAGATAATACAAGGTCGCTGTATTTCGTTGTTTTTATTCTCCTCAACTGTCTCTACATCTTAAACACTATCAAAATATAGATTTCAAAATTTCTGAACATACCGCTATGCAATGACTTCGAGTTATAGATAAAAATTAGTAGAAGTCATCATAATTCTAAATATGATGCAAATAGACGAATTATTCAGTGTTAAAAGATTAACTATTTTCTATAGTTTGGTTTGTAAGGGTTATTTATGTTTTTACGAGTTGATCACAGATTGATATCAGTTTAAGAACCACTGAAAATCAGGGAGTACTGGATAGCCAGCTGTTCCATCCTAGTTTGTAAATCATCGGCAGTACGCACCCACCGGGGTTCGAACCCAGGACCTTCAGGGTACAAAGGAAGCTGCCTCGTAAACCCTCCAGTCATTGGGACCCGATTCAATGGCTCATGATGATTCTCAAACTAGGATGAAACAGCAGCTGTCCAGTACTCCCTGGTTTTCAATGGTTCTCTAACTGATATCAATCCATGATCAACTCGTAAAAACATAACTAACCCTTACAAACCAAACTATAGAAAATTAATCCGATGCTCGCTAGTGACTTGCTACCGGATGGAGTTCTAGTGAGAACTCGTGACCAGTGAGGTCCAATTAGATGTCACGTGTGTGGATGGATGCCCCCCCCCCAATGACATTGGTTGGTGGTCGCGCTAAAAAAAGAATCACGAATTGGTAGAAGTTAGAATTCATGAGCCATTGAATCGGGTCCCAGTGGCTGAATAGTATACGAGCTTGTCTTGTAGCCGGAAGGTCCTTGGTTCGAACCTTGGCGGTGGGTGCGTACCACCGGTGATTCCCAACCTAGGATGAAACAGCAGCTGTCCAGTACTCCGTGGTTTTCAATAGTTCTCTAACTGCTTAACTATTCGTCGAATAATTAGACAAGGGAGGGCGTGTAGAGTTCAGATGTCGCTTGAAAACAAGGATGGACTAGAGACGAAGTACAAAACAGAACAACAGAATAAGTTTATGCGTTTTATGATTAGAGAGTTGAGGTGGGATAGGGTGGTGAATACTAAAGTCATAAGATAGACAAAGTAATTTAATTTACTAGATTTGGAAACTTAGTAGTGATGAGTTCAACTCAGTCAGCAAGTGAAAATCAAAGCTAGAATTTAGTGGAATATTTATCCCATGGAAAAAAAATACACAAAAGTACACGAAGGAAACAGTTTCGGTTATCAGGGTCGTGAGAGATTAGTCACATACACTATCTTTCTGTATGCAGAGATTGGGTCGAAATATTTTGATAATAAATGGTATTATATTGCCTATACTTATTGTCCATAACTCGATGTTATATAAGAAAACATGTGTTCGTTCTTTCTTTATTCAAAATAAACCTCATATTTCTTCTATATACTGAGCTTTCGATGAGTAGCTATGGCTCATTAGTCTAATCTCTCGAAAAATCGAACAGCTTGTTCACAGATTCCACTCTCATTTACACTATCAATGGTGTTAATTAATTGGTGGATGGTGACTAGCAGTGGAATCCAGAATAACGCACATTTCATCCTATTTGGGACTCGTCCACCAGCTAGATGTACCTGCATTCCGCAGTCAGTGATGATGTCTCCACCGAGGCTCGAATTAATTAATTGATTAATATGACCCGTTGCACAAGAGAGGTGGCTGTTGTGGCCCAAGTGGTTTAGTGGATAACGCTTTGGCGTTTGAAACTATGGGCACTGGGTTCGAGCCTCGATGGGAACACCATCACTTACTGGGGGAATGCTGGTACATCCAGATGATGAGCCCCGAATAGGACGAAATGCGCGTTATCCTGGACTCC